ATACAAACTGTGCCCAACCCCAGCCGAGCAGCCAGAGCCTTCAGCAGGTAACAATGGCAGTGATGAGCAGTGTGGTTTGTAGCATTTCTACCTGTATATGTTTCTGAAGTAGAATCACTCTGGTGATCTCTTTGAAGTCTGGGCTGGTTTTTCAGGTTTCGTCTTTGTTGCTGGTTTTGCGTTTAATAAACACTAAAAGAAAGATTATATGTGTGTCCTCATTCTGTGTCAGCAATGTCGACTGTGGTCTAAGCTTTATTTCAGTTCATGATTATGAAGTAATGGGAAAGTAATGTAACAAGTAGTGTAAGAAATTACTTGTTCTAATGAATAATTCAGTAACGTACTGCTTTACTGTTATGAAAAGTGATGAGTAATGTGTAATCGGGTACTTTTTTGTGTAACAGCTCAGCACTGGTGAATAACAGTATTAACTTAAATTAAACATTTCAAATGTGTAACTCATGTGGTATGTAATAACTTCAGTTTTTCAGATGTGCAGCCTACAACTTTCTTAAGCACTGAACAGATCTCTCCAATAACCTTTACTGCAAGATTGGACAGTCTTTATGCACTTCTTGCAACTGATGAGTGAAAGACAAAATTATAAAATAATGAGTGGATCAGGTCGCACAGAGCACCAGGTGGCTGGGCCTTCGCCCATGGAGGAACAGCCCTAAAGAACCTCTTGGGTCAGCCCTTCCTTGGATCCACAACCTGCAAGGCTGCCTGTAAGGGTCAGTGCAGTGTTGAACAGGTGATGATCAAAGGCAGAGGAGTCGGTGGTTTAGTCCCTGAAATGATATTGGCTTGTTATAGACGGACTCACCTTGATGCACAGAAGAGGAGATCTTGAGAGGAGCTGGACTCTATTTCATTTTGGAGTTGCTGTTTTTGAGAGGCGGCAAGCAGGGCCAAGTATACTTGTATTTCCTGCTTCAGTGCCTTTATATTGTGCTTTTCCTTGTTGCAAGAGAGGGTTGCTTCCCAGAGTTACCCACCCTTTTTGGGGTGTCTTAGTTGGATGCTGATGGTAAGTTAGATCAGTGGTCAGGGAGGATGCCAGATTGACTTGGCAGCCCACATGTATAGTTAGGGTGTATCTGGCAGAGGGAAGTTCCACTTTCCAGCAGAAGTTCAAGTGGGAAAATGAGGACATAACCCAAAATAGTAAAAGACAACACACAAAGTTATAGACTCAGTTGAATGATAGCAGTATCATCAATAACAGCAGCGGTTTGTTTAAAATGGCATCAACATAACACCACCTAGCAGGCATCAGTGTTTGCATTTTGCACCTATAAGGAATGCAGCTCGCTAGCTTTAACTGATAACTCAGTGCACCCAACCCGATGAGAAAATTTGTGTGGCTGACTCCAACTTGTTGGTCTCGCGAATAACTCGTGCACTTTCCTCTTCACTGTTCTCATTCATAAAGTTCTCTGCAAACGCTAACATTAAGGCTAATAGGTGGATTTCTCCATTTTAGCACAGCTAGCCAAACAACAAAGAAAAAAAACCACTTACTGCTTAAGAGACAGAGAGTGAACATGTATAATTCGATTTTTAAACTTAAAACTCATTATTGTAACCCGAGGTACTATGAAAGTCACCTCCTTAGACTGCTTTTTAGTTATCAGTTCTGTCACTCGTTAGCGAATATAAACTAAAGTAAGCAGCAACCAACCCATCCAGTGATGTCACGTTCTGTACTTGTCTCCACAGTGCATTTGTAGTGGTTTACTTAAGAGATGCTTTTCGTCAGGGTGCAAATACACTCAAGAGTAAGTGTTTACACTCAATGAATGTATCATGATATTGCCCTATCAGTAAAAATATTTAATTAAATTCATTAATAAATACCCACAACAACACTCTCTTTAGCTGGTGAGGCGGCTGATGGCAAACTCCACACTGGATGCTTCTATTGCTCGAGGATGATATTTGTTTCTCTCTGCACTGAAAGCAAGAAGCTCTTACTCATGACATATTCAGAAAAGCAGAGGGCGTTTAGCTTTTGCAGAGGAGAGCTGATCCCCTGGGAGAACTTCTCCATAGAAAATAATGAAAAGAAGCATGTTTAAAAGGCCCTGTCTGAGCAGTAATAGCTATGTTTCGGTAAGCTCACGTTGAGCAAACCTAAATGCAAATGAGGTGGCTTGAAGCAAATAAATAGGTTGCCTTGACATAAATTCATGCCAGTAAAAATGCACAGTGAAGACGCACCATCGTCCACGTTCCAGGAACGGGCTAATTCTGGGGGGGTGGGGGGTTAGGATGCTATGGTGCAGTAAAGTAGCACACATGTAATGCTGTTTGAAGACCAAAATAGATGATACTCACTGAGTCACAATGCTAATCTACTAAGTGAAAATGAAAGTGAAAATGAAACCCTTTGTGTTTCCAGTGTGGGAGTGACAGCAGAGTGACATGTCTTAGTATGTCGTCAGTGGTATTTCAGGAAAGCCAAGTGACATCAAACACTCATCCCGTCATTCTCACTCACTACATCCTGTTTTTTATAACAAAACTGGGATAAACTCTGCAAAAACAATCGTCTCGAGTATCTGTGATGTTTTCTCTGATATCAGGTCTGTATAGCACTGGTGTTTATCCTCCCTCTCATTACTTCTTCTGGGCTTTACATTGTCTGTGTTATTGCTGCAGTGACTTAGGATTGGACGATAATTGTTGTGGACACAATGAAACGGCCAGCCGAGCACTCAGTGGCTCTAAGCTCTTATAGACTTAAGTGGCTGTGGTGGATCAGTAAAGTGCTTGTGGAAGTGCAGAGGGAACCTAACCCATCTCCTGTTTCTATCTTCTTGCTCGCTCAAATGCTGCACAGTCACTGAAAGCCCTCCTCTCCTTCATTACATATTCCCCTCGACAACCCCTCCCCCTCTTCGTCCTCTAATTTCCTCTTTCCATAAATCTCTCTTTGCCATAGTTTCTCTCCACGCTCCTCTGTTTCCTCACCTCCATTTTGTAACTGAGGCGGGCTCGGTGCTCATCATTTCTGTCGAGCTCCGATTCACTTTCCTGGAACCCGTCTCTCCATCTGTCTTGCCAGTTTTTCAGCAAAGTGAATGCAAACCTCTCCTCCACCTTCTCCACTCTTATCTCCTCATCCTTCCATCAGTCTCCATCACGGCCGACTGCTGCCACTTCAGACCTGTCTGTCCATGCATCTCTTTCTTATTCTTGCCCTCTCACCAGCACAGAGTTCCCTCTGTCTTTCTCAAACCATCTCTCTCCTGGCAAACAGAGGGACGTTGCTATACTGACAGTAGTGTGGGTTCGACAAGTGTTTTGGGGATTTACACCATTAAAATAATTTTCTTGGTACCTATCAATAAAAATACACTGGAGCCAGTACTGCCGAATAAAGTAAGACTAGACAACACACCACATATGATATATAGTAAGCAGATAAACTACCTCTAGCTGACAAATTATATTTTGTTTTGTGTTTTGGCTATATTTGTGCACCTCCCCTGCAGTTATGGTACATTACTGCTGTCTGGCAGATGGAAACTTTTGTGGATATTCACTGTAATATGATACCTACAAGTAACAGAAATCTTACCAAACTTGCAGTAACACATTGTTGGTCACTTGGGGGCACTGTTGGGCACATTACATGTTTCAGTAACCCAATTCAATTTTATTTATACAGCGCCTCAAGGTGCTTTATATTGTACGGTAGACCCTACAATATTACATACAGAGAAAAACCCAACATATGACCCCCTTTGAGCAAGCACTTTGGCGACAGTGGGAAAGAAAAACTCCCTTTTAACAGGAAGAAACCTCCAGCAGGGGCAGGCTCAGGGAGGGGCGGGGCCATCTGCCACAATCGGCTGAGGAGAGAGAAGGAAAACAGGATAAAAGACTTGCTGTGGAAAAGAGACAGAGATTAATAACAAGTAAGTAATGTAATGTAACGCATTACTGTACTAAATTCCGTAATCACATTACAGTTACAATCACGTTGTTACTTATGTTCAGTTATCTGCATGTCAGGCAAATAGAAAAAAATATCTTTTTTTGGTTTCTTTGGGTGGCACAGTGATTAGCACTGGAAACTGATAGTGGAGTAGTCTACAGTGGAAATGTGGACATTACAGCACAGACAGTATGCTATCACAAACCTAGCCAAGAACCCAGAGCGATAATAAAGCTGAGTGAGTCCAGCAGCCAGCTCCCGAACTTCAACATGTAACAAAAGTAGTGTTGAGCCATCAGCCTCACTGTCTCGATTTGCTTTGAAGTCTCATTGTGGTGATTTTTAACTTTGTATTGTCACCTTTGTGTTCATACATGAATACTAGTAAGCATGTCCTGACAAGGCCAGAGATTTATATTGTTCTAAAGTTTATATTGTTGACTGGTAATTACAGTGGGACAAAAAAGTATTTAGTCAGCCACCGATTGTGCAAGTTCCCCCACTTAAAATGATGACAGAGGTCAGTAATTTGCACCAGAGGTACACTTCA